CTGACTCCAGTCAACTTCTCTGGGATTGACCGAGACGCGCCCCACAGTCTTGGCCTGCGCCGCGCACTCGGCTGCTCCTGCGACCCAGGCGTTCGTTAGAGAAATCACTACGTTTTCAAGGCTAGGTAGAAAAATAACACTGGTGGATCTGGGGACAACGGAGTTTTTGTGTTTTGTTTCTAGTCGTGCAACAAAATGTCAAAGTAAAACCATGAATATATGAACCGTAGGCTCAAAGTAATTCTTTTTCTCTCCGTCTGCACAAAATCCCGCAGCTTGATGGTTTTCCAGAGCCTGGGAATCTCATGCTCATCACCACCGCGCCAGCTTTCTTGTATTCTCTGCTATTCTCTTATCAATTTTGTCAAGCTGGTTTTAGTGGTCTCCTAGGATGTCAAACACTCGGAGCAGACTTATAAACAGTGTGGGCCTCTCCACAGTCTGAACTTGGTTAATATTTATGTAGCCACGGGTAACAATGCAGCTCGGAGTTCTGACATCACGTCTGCAGCACCGCGAGGAGCTCCTCTGATTCTGCACGGGATGGAGCGGCACAGGGAGCGGCACAGAGAGCGGCACAGAGAGCGGCACAGAGAGCGGCACAGAGAGCGGCACAGGGAGCGGCACAGAGAGCGGCACAGAGAGCAGGGCTTATGTTGGCTTAGTTAAAATGAGAAAAGAAAAAATGTAAATATTGTTGGAAAAGTTTAAGGGTTTAAATTGACACTTAAGAATTCCAGTGTTTTATTGAACTTAAACCATTGGCAAATTAAGCAACACAATTATTTTTGGTAATTAATTAAAGATTGATTTAATGTGTTAAACAGAAATGCTTCACGTGCGCGCGTGTGTGTGTGTGTGTGTGTGTGTGTAACACAGCTGGTAAACTGATTACAGGATCATTTTCTGAGAGCAGTAATGTGGCTTTTTTACTGTTAAATGTACCAAACGTACAGTATTTACTACACAGACATTCATCTGACCCAAAATCAATACAGAAAAAACAAAGGTGTCGTATCGACATAAAACTATCAAAACCAGTACAAGTGACTTTGTCGCTGCACTTTTTCCTCATTAAAGCGGCTTAAGAAAGACAGGCTGAAATCAATGTTGGTCTGAATGTAAATCAACATGTGTAGAGAGAGAGAGAGAGCTGGTAAATGAATGAGCTCATCACGCTGCTCAAATTTCAGATATTCAATCACTTTGGTAAAAATGCTGCCGGAGACATTCCCCCCTAGAAAGAGCTCTGGACTTATAATTGACCCGGCAGACAGGAAGTAATTAAAAAGAAGTCAAACACAAGAAGGGTTTTCAGATCAACTTTGAAAGAACCAAGGTCCAGTGTGGGTGTGTGGGGCTCTGGCTTACACAACTGTCAAATACCGCTTAAGGACCGCGCTGTGAAAACAAATCATTTTTAAGCAAACGGCACCGTGAAGTTAGCATTTAAAAAACACTTGAAAATCCTTCAGACTGCGTTCAATACGATCAGACGCTCCAACCAACACGGGAGCGAGTCTCTGGCTGGTCTGTGTGAGGTTTGATAAATGACGGCCATGTTGGAGAGCAGCAGATACAGGTGAAGAATCTCTCTTCAAATGTTTGGTACGGAAAAAACCAAACCAAGTGAAAACACATGTGCTTCACCTGTGACCTATAAAAAATGATATATGGTCACATGTAATGTAACTCAGCAGAGGCCAACACTTCCAATTTGTTTCACTTTGTCACGGCGCCCTCTGTGATGTGTAAATGTGGACGTCAT